GGTTGGAGACACACATTGAACCATCCCCCAGACAGCAGTGAAGGATCATGGCACTAAAAGGCATCTCTTCCCCTTCTCACCTCCGGAGTCCATATCTGACCTAGCTCAGAATTCTATACCCTAACCTGGCTGCTGAATTCAAACAAATGAACAAAAACTCCTGAGCCTGTATGAATCTCCTCTTTTGGCTTTGTGGCAGCTCCTGTGGAGGGAGGAGTCCCTGGCTTATACCCCTAAAATGCAAAAACTAGTCTGCCCCAGAATCTGGTTTTCATCTCCATCAGCAGTCTGACATGTTTGAAGACCTGGTTGACTTTAGGTGCAATCTGTTTTCCTTACTACAGTCTTGAGCTCTGGACTGGTTTTCAGGGCATTTTCCTAGATGGTGAGAGATGGGGGCCAACTGTGCTAATGAGCCAGAGACCAGAGCTGAATTCTCTGGGCAATGTGGACTCCAGGCCCGAGGCACCACAGGAACTTCTGGGCACCTGTGAGGGTCCCAGCAGTGTAACTTGACTAGGCCTTTGTCATAGACAGGAAGGGACCATGGGAAGGGATTGCCACCCTCATCACCCTCACCTGGGCTGCTCAGGACATTTCCATAAAATCTCCGTACTCTTCCTCAACTTTTAACCTTGAATTATTTGAGTGTTGGAATTGAATATGTATGTGGCACATCTTCCAAGAGATGAGCTGTGCAATTTCTCCTTGCCACTGCTGTGGGCTGTGTGATCTTGGGCAATTTACTCTAAGCTATAGTTTATAAAATAAAGTGTTTTATTCCAGATAGCTCTGAGGTCCCTTTAAATCCCATCACTCTATCCTCTTATAATTTTATTTATAATTTCTATTTTTTCTAGTGGGAGACTTGTTTCACTTCTCATTTATGGAGAGATGGTTTTGTTTTGTTTGTTTGTTTGCCTCATCATGTAGGATATTGTTCAGAAGACTCCATAATGAGTAAGAGAAGCTTTTGTGCTTCCTCAGGCTTCCAGTTAAAGCATCTGAAATAGAAGTGTATATAAAGACTGTGTTTGGAGCTCTTCATTCCACAAAGTATCTGTGCTAGACTCGAAACTTTTGGAAGATACAAAGACCAGTAAAGGAAAGTCCGTATCCTTAAGGGCTGCACAGTTGAGGGGAAGAAGAAGGAAACACACAGTTTAGCAAGTCCAGGATCATGTAAGGATCACAGGAACTAGGGTTGTCAGCTCTGTAGATCAAAAGGGTAGGAGGAAGAAAAAACTTCAGAATAGATTCAAGCCTTCCAGCTTGTGTTTGAAAAAATTATAAATACCCAACAAGTAGAAGTTAGGGAAATACATGCCAGGGAGAGCAAGATCTGTGAGTGAAAACAGCAATGTGAAGCTCCATGACATATTCATATTCTGGGAATGATAAGCATTGTGTGGTTGTGGTGTAAAACTGAAGAGTGGTATAGTGAGCTAGAGGCTAGAGATATTATTAGAACTAGATCATAATATAGGAAGTTCAGACTTAAGTCTATAGCCAGTGGAAAACCATGGAAAGGGTTGTTTTTTGTTGCTGTTATTTAACTTTTTATTGTGATTTGGGTGAAAGTTTACAGGAAAAAAATAGTTTCCCATTCAACCATTCATATGCATTTTCATGGAAAGTTTTAAATAAAGAATATTCGCTCTGGTGGCCTAGTGGCAAAGAAGCTGCACTGTAATTCTGAAAACATGCAGTTCGAGGCCACCAGCTGCTCAACGGTAGAAGGCTAGGCAGTCTCTTCCTGTGTGATTAACTGCCTCTGAAAACCCATCAGAGGGTCAGCTATGGGTCAGTTCCAACTCGATGGTACATAACAAGAACAGCAGCATTATGCTCTTAGAATTATCTGTTTGCAAGTAGGAGAATATATTGCAGGAGGTAACTTTAAGAATAGACAGAGCAGTAAAGAAGCAGTTGCAGTTAGTTCAGCTGAGAGATGATGAAAGCTTAAATCAGAACTGTCAGCCAGTGATTGAAGAGTGGGCAGATAGACACCAGGATTAAAGGCTGTAAGAATAGATGATGTTTTTTGGCCTCCCCTCAGTGCTCTGAATTAAGGAGGGAGGAGTGATTATTATTGCCATTTTATGAAACAACAGAACTAAAGCTTGGAAAGATTGACTTGCCCAAGGTCCCACAGTTAATAAGTGGCAGAGCCCAGGCTAAAAATCAGGTTTCCTGATTCAATTCCTTGTTCAGGTTGATGGTCCCTTGCTGCCTCGCCTCCTTGTAAGTGTGCTTAACAATTGTTCAAATGTCAGAGGGCGTAAGGGCCCCATATCTGGGGAAGTGAACAACCCAGCACCTAGGTGGGGTAGATGCTGTGATTGGGCCTGTGGCCCTCCACTGCCAAAGGCTTGTTTCTGTCTCCCCTCCAGCCTTCTCTTCTCTTTTTCTCTCTCTTTTGAGAGATAGCATATATAAACATCTTAAGATATGCAGTGCACACACACATTAACCATCACCCAATTAAGAGTGTCTAGGAAATGGTACTTTTTCTGGCACCCGAGAGGGCGTAAACCTATCGGAGTGCTGCCTCTATTACCGTGCCTCTAAAATCCTCATTTATTTTCATCTCTCAACTGATCCCTGAATAGCTACCACATCAGAATGGGTTACTTTAGAACTGTACCTGGAGGAAGTTCACATGATGCAAATAATGAGGAGGTCAGTTGATGGTTTAAACACGGTTTTAATCTTCATATTTACTTCATTATTATTCCACATACAGTATAAAGATACAGATGATTCCATGACCTCCTTGTTCACTTTATAATGAAATAAAAATACCCACTTTGTTCAGAAACATAATGTTTGTTCATTAAATCAGTTGAGAAGTCATAATCAAGGACAGCCTCATTTACCTCTTTGCTGGTTAATCTGGAATTTTCCATTTTACTGTGTATGATGCTGTTTTGTTCACTCCCTCGTTGGCGTGTGGCTGTGTTGCATCCCCAGCTAGGCCATCAGTGCCTTGTGTGTGGTGACTGTGACCCACATGTGTTCTCGTCCACTGTGGCGCTCCCCTCAGTGCTGAGTGTGGTGTAGGCCTCAGTCACTCTTTAGCTAGTTTTTATTTACTAACTTTGTCACACAGTCCTTAAGGCTAACGCCAGGCTTGCTGCTTACAGTGAAAATGATGGTAAAAATATGTACCACTTGGGGGAATAATTGAAATGGAATGAAACTTGCAAATTCTTCAAATTCCCTGTGACCAGATTCAGGCTTTTAGGTGGCCAAGGACTTTATAGTCTCTGTAATGGCATGTTCTAAATTTGGAGTCATCTTGTTCAAGGCTGATTGTTTTCTTTACTAATTTTACTCTCCAGAATAAGGAAACCCAAAATGATTGTTTAAAATTCTCCCCACCTATATTGTCCACAGAGCCATGTTTTCATATCCAACAAAGGCCCTGGACTCTGCATGGTAGTTCAGCTGGGCTCCATTTCGTCTGCCATAAATCTCCTTTTCTTGTCTCTTTGCTCCCCATGATTTCCTTCACATTTCTCAACATGAGCTGTACAAATCGTAGGCTGGCGTAGCTCAGAAAGCCCATCCTTCTAGCTTAGATCCAGCAAAAGCAGCAAAGTTCTTAACTTCCTTCTCTGACCGTCATACTTTCATGATTGAAGGAACCAGAACGTTCCCTGTTAAACTTCTGATGTACAAAAATGTGCTCCAGAATAACTCTGGTGTGGAATATCCTTGTCCTGGTGGAGTTAGAGGGTACATGGGTACTTTCTTCTCATACCACCCTCTTTTATGTTAACCCTTTGTTAAAAATATTTCAAGTAAGGAGCTCTAGTGCCCTGGTGGCAAGAAGCTAGACTGCAATCCCAGAGGTGCACGGTTCGAATCTACCAGATGCTCTGCTGGAGGAGGGGCAATCTCCTCCTATACCAGTCAGGTCTGATTTGACAGTGCACATAAAAAAAACACCAAACAATGAAATTTTAAAAAAAAATACTTCAAGTGTATCTGACTGTCCTCAGTGCAGTTCTTCTTCCTATAATAGACTCCATATTCCTCAAGTCCAAGACCTTATTTGAGTGGAAGAGATGTTGCTAAAAAACACTCTTGTTTACTAACAGTGGAAATTTGGATAAAGAATGTTTCTGCTCTAGTGCTTGAAAGTATAGCAAGGGAAATATCTAAAAAGTTAGACATTCTTCTCCCTCCCTTCATAGCAACTTCTTCTTACCTTTCCCTCAGGATACCATAAGGTAAGTTTTTTTTTTTTAAGCCACTCATCTTTCAGCTCTCTCAAGCTGAGCTCTAAATCAGCCTGGAATATCAAGATCTATTTCACACTTGCTCCAACGTAGACATTTACTTTCCTAATGACCCAAAAAATCACCTTTAAGTCATGAGGAAATCTTAGTTGGAGCACCCAGTAGCACTTCAGCAGGAGGTACTTAAGGATTTGTAAGAGTTATGCCTTTCTGTCTGCAGCTAGGTCTACAGGAGGAGAGTTAGCAAGCAGAGCCCCACTGGACAGCTAGGCTTATTAGTCCCTCTGTGCATAAGCTGCCAGGGCCAAAGCTTACTCCTTTTAAAAAAGATGGCTAGCTACCAAGATTCATGTAATATGGTGATTTAAAAAATTTTTTTGTTGAAATCACCTTATTAAATATACCTCCAGATGAGATCTCAGACATGAAAAAGAGGGTTCGCTTAATATCTCAGATGAGGCCCCAAGTTACTACACATTAATGAGAAAGCTGCTAAGGAATATTCCAGAACCTTGGTTAATGCTAATCATCCTGGTTTTAGATTTCTTTGGTTTCAGATCACTTGGAATTTTACTTAAGCATGCCCCTCCCCCCAACCCACCCACTCACCTCAGAAAGGCTGAACCATACTGTGTGTCTGAATAGGGCCCTTGGGTTGTGTTTTATTCAACACAAAACTTTTGCTTTATATCTGTGTTTGGTGGTGCCCACTTCTTGTTTCTGCCTAATGCCATTCTTGTGTCTTCCCTTAAGCAACTCTGCTGATGAAACAGGCCTGGCCACAGAACTCGTCTTCCTGTGGCACTGAAGGCACCTTCCACCTCCCAGTGGACACCGGGACCGAGAACCGAACTTACCAAGCATCCTCTGCGGCTTTCAGTAAATACAGCCTGCCTCTCCTTTCTTTCCGCTTCACTGGGACTGATTTGTTTCTTAAAAAGTAAACAAAGGGAACTTTTAAAATGACCTTTATAAGAAATGTCTAAGAGGGTCTCCTAAGTATATAAAAACTTCAACCACTCATTCAAGAGAGGTCATCTTCTTTGATCATGAATACACCATTGGGAAGTGAGCAGTGAGGGAAGGAGGGTATTCCTTTGGCCAGCAAGTTTGGTTAGAGAAGGACTGTTACTGCATTTTAGAGAAAAGGACAAAGGGTACATTTTAAGGCCTGTGGACCTATGGACTTAGTGACTTCCTCGCTTGAGCACAGGGTTTCTGGAACTGAGCATCATTGAATCAGATAAATCTTTGTTGGGGAGGCTATCTTATGCCTTGTAGAATATTTAGCATTCCTGGCCACTACTCATGAGATGACCGTAACAGACTTAAAAAAATGAAAAAGGTCTCATAAATTGCCCCTTGAGTGACTATGGAACAAGAGATATCCATTTATCCACTTCCTAAACAACATGCCTCTGAAAACTCTATGAACTTTGATAAATGATGATAGTTAGAAAAAGGCTTTAGGCCTTTTGTTCATAGGATCACTATGCTCAACTCTATGGCAATCAACAACAACAACAACCAGGAAAAAACTGTCTATACAGTCAAATTGGGCACATTCATCTGGAGACTCAGTGAGGCAACTTCACCCCCAGATCTGATTTTGAACACAAAAGGGCTTCACAGGAAAATGAGGACCAGTGTTTGGAAATTACTGAGTGACATTTTGACTCCCTATGAGCAAGTATCCTGTGCCTTGTTGAAGCTGTCTAGTGAAGGAAAGGCTGCCTTGCAATGTGGCGAGGACCTCTCTGAGCCCTTGGAGGGATGTCGTAAAGTAGGTCTGGTAGACTGTGGTTCTGTGAATTACTAACAAGTAAGTAAGAAGAATTCATAGTATATTTTCCTTCTTTGAGATACTCAGTGTCACTTTCTTTATAATCAACATTAACTTACGTTTTTATAGCACACTCTTTTGGAGAATGTACTTTTAACCACCCTTTCATTGAACCTACGCTGAAGCCTTACTACGTTATTTAGGAGATTTTATTCCAGTGTGATAACTGAGGTATAGAAAAATAATATGCCCAATAAAACAAATATTGAACAATACAACTGTAAAAAGGTAATCACCCAGATTAAGTTTCTGTTAGTGACTTTCTTTACAGGATTCATTTTCTCTATTTAAGGGAGAAGTAGCTGCAATAGTTTGCCCAGATCCCTCAGGTAGAATTGGCTGAATATCTTTGAGATTAAACATAGGAATGGGTGTATGCCCTCCTGTTCTCTCTTACATGCATATAGATGCAGATGTACATCTCTAATGTAAGAAGCCTTGATGTCCTTCTATGACAGGTTTCAGCCTTAGAAACCTTATGAACAGTTTCACTCTTTCCTATAGGGCCACTGTGAGTCAAAATTGACTCTGGCAATTTTGTAGGGGACACGGGTGGTTCAGTGGTAGAATTCTCACTTCTGTGCAGAGAACCTGAATTCAGTTCCTGGTCAGTGTACCTCAAGCAGAGCCCCTGCCTGTGTCACTACAGGTTTGTATGTTACAGCAATGCAGAACAAATTACAACATAGCTTCCAGATTAAACCAGGCTAGACAAAAAGCCTAGCTGTCTGTTTTCCAATATCCAACCCCTGAAAACCCCGTGAATCACAGTGGCCTGATCCTATTGCATGAGGTCTCTATGAATTGGGCTAATTTGATGACAAGTGGCAATATCCTCATGAAGCAGAGCAAAATGTTGGATTTTTGACTTGGTTATGTGTAACCCAAGATAATTCACATCTGTGTTTTGGGCTTTGGTTTTCCCAACCTTAAAATGAGGGAACTGGACTAGGTCGTCATTGAGGTTCACTCTGGCTATTGGACTCCTGATTCTGTGACGCAGAAGCACAATGTACTGTGCACTCGGTATTCTACACCCTGGCACGGACCACCTCACTGGCTACCTTGACAAGAAGTTTGGCCACTATCCTTTTGTGCAGACATCTCTAGGAAGGGATTACTCGTCTCCAGAGGCAGCCCTTTCCAAAGGGAGAAAGTCTATGTTAGAAGGCTATGCCTTGTATTCTTCCACGTATGCCATCACAGTTCCTGAAAAGGACTAAAATATATAAATATATCCTTTTTTAAAGGATGCAATGTATAAACCTTTAAATTATCTTAATAATTTGACATTGACCAAGCCTCCCATGATCACCAACTTCTTTCCTTCTTCTCCCTCTAGCCTCCTAACACCTATCTGTCCCAGCACTTAGATTTTGTGACTTCTGGTGCTTAGAAAATTCAGGACAATGACAAAAATCAGTTCCATTTTACCTGCACTTGCTAAGCTCATTTGTAATTAGATTCCAACTTCTACTTCTTCATCACTCTCAGCTATGAGCAAGGAGACTTAGGGGTCAAGGAGAGATTCAGACATAGAGCTTTGTCCAGACATATAAATCTGATGATCAATAAACTGATTAGTCTAAAAGGTATATGTGATGTGAAGATCAATGCCTTTGAAAATGGTAGGGACTCTGCAACAAAAAAGATTTATGACAGTGCCAGAGGGTTGGCAAGTGGACTGTGTAAGTTTTATCTTGCTAGTGTACACATCCTCTTTATCATCCTTTTTGATGGATCCTAAAATTATAGTCAGGAATGTGAGAGAAAGAAACCCTTAGTAAAGTCATAGTAAAGAAGCCTTTTCCCTGTACTCTCCTTCACCCCAAGACAGAAGTGGGACAACTAGTGATCAATTTTCGTTTTTCTCTCAAGATGCTCCCTTTGTTGAAATACAGACCCAAAAGTCAGTATACCAAATGCCTGAGAATGAACTACAGAGATAAAAAGAGCTTTGCCCAGGACGTGGTCAGCCCTGAATTCTAGGCCCATCTTTGCATTGAACTGTGATTAACTTTTGGCAAAGTCACTGCTTCTTTGGACTTCAAGTTCTACATTTGAAACAAAGTTAATCTGCTGTCTTTAATGGCATTTTCTTCTCTTTCATTGCTAGTAAATCGAAATCAACTTATAACTGAAGCTGACCCTTCAGTGGGTTTTTCAGAAGCAATATATCACATGGGAGAAGGTTGCTAATCTTCCTCTCATGTAGCAGCTGGTGAATTCAAACCACTTGCCTTTGGGTTGCAACACATAGAGCTCCTTACCTGGTAGACCAACAAAGCTTTAAGGTGTCACATTTGAAAATCCTAACTCCATGCCCTTCAGATTTAGGTAAAATCCTTTTCAGGATAGATAGACCTCCAGTGAGAGAATTGAATAAAAATTCTTCCAGGCAAAATCCATGAGTTTTATTTTTAAGCTCAACAGTGAACTCCAAGGCTATGGACAAGACCTCAAGTTAGTTGTACTACATTCCCTGCAGTGATTTCCCCAGACAATCTTTAGAATGCCAGCAGTAGAAAGATGCTCCAATGTAGTCAGTTACATGATGTAATGTGGTTAAAAAAAAAGAAGAAGGAAAAAAAAAAAGACTGGCCATAATTTACTTGTTTTAAGCGATGATATACGTTGAGAGAGAGGAATTGACCTGAATCAATGACGGAGTCAGGTTGCGAGTCCAGGACTGTTTGTGTAGCTTCATATTAGATCTTCCTGGCACAAATGGGAACTTTGTGAACCATTGTGGTTTGTGGGGAAAAAACTGAATCCTGGACTCTGTGAGCAGTAACTCTCTTTTGGTCTCTGCTTATATATCTGTTAAATATTTGTGGTTGATCTAAATGATCTCTTAAGATCTCAAGTACATTGGCATTTCTGCTTTTCCTGCTTGAAAATGGATAAACATCAAGGCCTCTATCTGCAACATTATCTCTTTGGCTGCCGAGGGTGTTTTGGCTACTGATTTGAATTCTGAGTGTGTTTGTACCTAATTTTATAAAGTAAAGAAAAACATTCTCAGATGGGTTTATTCTTAGATGTAGAAACCAAATATTGCAGTTTCTTAGAACCTTTTGATTTTCTTCAGAGGAAAAGTATCAACACTTAGTAATATGGTTGTCCTTGTGGCATAGAGGGTGTAGTGCAGGCTGCCCCAGGGAAGAAAAAAAAATTCCTCAACAAATTCTTCAGCATGAAAGATAGTCACCAGAATTGCTGGCTTACTGATGTGAATGAATGATAAAATCATGACACTGTAAAGCATAAAATTTTAGAATCCCAAAGTATATGTTCAAAATCGGAACAGACCATAGAAGTCATAGTTCGTTTTTGTACCAGCCTCTACTTGTATGTCCTGAGGACAGGAAGCTTACTATCTCTCCAGGCAGCGAGGGAGAGAGACTTATAGTAACTGACCTTTATGAAGTGCTTGCAATGTGTTGGCACTGTCCTAACTGCTTTGTACATATTAATATGTAGTTACCACAGTAACCTTTTTTAGTAGGTTCTGTTATTATATCCCCATTTTGCAGATGAAGAGACTGAAATGTGGGGATTCTACAGCTATTATGTAGCAGAGGTAGAATTTGGGCCCAGTCAGCCACTTAACTGGAGCTCTGTGTTGTAAAGCTTTCAGAGAAGGCATCTTGTGCTTCAGGGGTGTCCTGCCCATCTGTCTAGGAAAGGGACTCCCTATGTCTTATTTTATTCCTTTAAGCTGGGGATTAGAAAACTTTTCCTGAAAAAGACTAGGTAAATATTTTAGGCTTTGCAGGCCATATGGTCTCTGTCATAACTACTGTTGTAGCAGGAAAACAGTCATAGTCAATCCTCAGTAAAAGACTGTGACTGTAGTACATTAAAATTGTATTTACCAAAGCAGACTGCAGTTACAAAAACCACTGGCTGTAGTTTAAGTGTCAGTAGTACAAGTAAAAGACTCTGCAGTGAATTAAATTTGGTAAATGTAGTCCTTTCATGTTCCCACCTTAGAGATTTACAGTTCTCCCATTTTTTTTCCTCCCATCATTTT